AGTAAATCAGTGCTGGAGTCAGGGCTAGCCCTTAGAAATTCCTGGCTTTCAGTTATGTGCTCAGACTGTTAAGCAATGCGTCATTTTATTGTTTGCAACCGCTAGATGTAATGGTCCAGATCAGACCACTATCTTCTTTAAACAGGCCCTTAACTAATTTTAGATATATTTGTCCCTCTCTGAGTCAGATGCTGAATTGGTAACACATTGTAACCTTTACAAGAGAAGGCAGGTTGGAGCATTTCATATTGGATTGGTGTTTATGCAGACTGGGCTACAAGATGAGATGGCGGGTTTTGCCTGCAGCTTGTAGTCTCTTCCTTGAGGTTTGTCATTTGTACAGGCAAGACAATTGGAAGAAGACTCCAAGATGGCCAGAATCCAGGCTTCACTTCACATTTTCACCTGATTGATTTGATGCAGTTCCTCCTCCTGATCCAGATCTTTTATACAACTTGGCCTCATTTTCTTTCCCGTCTGAAGTGCACATGACAGGCACCAAAATGGAATCAGTCAGGATGTCCCAGTTGTTTCTTTTGCCTTTAGGGAGACATTTTCCTGATTTAGTGCTGATGTTGCTATCGCTGGTTTCTCTCTCTCTCTCTCTCAGTTGCTAAATACTGCAGAGGTACCTGCAGGCTGGCCTCAGCTGGTTTTCCTGCTAGACAATCACATTCTTTTTCTAACTTTCTCATATATATTATTTATTAATTTCAGGCTGTTGCCTGAGTACCATGTACCTTTGAATTTCATGCCAGACAAGGTGGACTGTCCCCTTCTATCTCATGATCATAGCTGGGATGGTCAGGAATTTTCAGGAGACAAATGCTGAGATATCCCTGGAGACATAAAAGCTCAAATTTGATATTTTTAAAATCAACATTTACAGACCACCCTGAAAAGCAAGCATTAACAAAAATATGGACTGAAGGTAACGTGTCTGATCTGTACAAAAGAAGACTGTGAGAGGGAAGCTAAAACCCAAGGATGGGAGCACTAGTGTAGGCCAAGCTCCTGTGGCTGTCAGGATTTTAACTTTGAGGCGATAAATGAAGATTGATTGATAGCCATTAATTCAAAATCCATTTGTTATGAACAGATCAAGGACTAGATTCTCAGGTATGCCAAAATCCTGGTGCACCCGGAAGAAGGTGCATTATATCAGCTCTCCCCGTAGTCCTGGGTGCTGGTTTGACCGTCAGCACAAATTAGGACAGCTTCTGGGATGCTCTAAATGCCATCAAACCTGTATCAGGAAAGCTTATGCCCAAATAAATGTGTTAGTCTCTAAGGTACCACAAGGACTCCTCATTGTTTTTATCAAAACTGTAGTTACTCCGTATATAGTAGTATAGCCCTCTCTAACTTGAAGCTATACTACTTAGCTGCACAATTACTTTATACCATAGCATAAACTGGCCAGTGCATTGCATACCCCACAGACAGATCAAACAAACCTTCACTGGCTAAGTCAGCGTGGAAGACAGAAGCCTGAAAGGCGCTGCACTGATATTAGCTTTAGTGACATAGAGGCAAAAAAAAGCAAAACATTAAAATTGAAATGTTTTGTTTCAGCATTTTCTAAAATGAAACATTTTGATTTTTCAATTCAAAACAACTTATTGTTTTGAAATATCCTTTAATTTCATTTTTAACATTTAAAAACCTTTAAAAATGCTCAAAACCAAAATGATTCCCTCTCCCCGACTTTTTTGAATTACCAGAAAACCGAAAAATCCATTCTTCACCCAGCTGCAAAGAAGACACTGCCCCACGTGAAACTCGGAGAGGGACTGTGACTCTGGGAAGCACCCCAGTGATCTGGGATAACACTCACACTGCACTATTCTTTTGGATGTTGCAGCCAGCTTCACAGACGTGCCTGGTTAACTTTGCAGGCCAGTGCTGAGAGAAGCAGGTCCATGCTCACCATTCCTCTACTTTGGCATGATTGCACCTCTTGGGGTGCCAAGAATATTAACCTGAATGTCATAGACAAATTCAACTGTGTGTAATTACATTCCGCTGATTAAACAGCTGTTGTATTCCCCCCCGCCCCCCAGAGGTGGCTGCCCTTCAGTGTTGGGGAAAGTGATTAGTATTTATGTTGTAAATTCAATGAGATAGTAAAATCTGTAAAGCCTGCTGGAATAGATCTGGAGGAAAGGTACTAAATAAATGCAGGATCATTAAGACTGTTAGCCTACTTTTAATGTTATGTCTTCTGGTACCTGTGATGTGAATTTGGATTCTTAATATTATTTTAAGTTGTTTGTTTTTGGTTTGCTTTGTGTGTATTTCACATGCTAGTGACTAGAGTATGTACTCCCTACCGTCACAGACTGAATAATTTCCATCCTTGTATCTGGTTTCACCAGATCCTAGGCAACCAGCACCATATGTATCTTATAAGATAATAAGCCTTAGAGGGGATTATTGTGGGTTCCTATTGAGATGCAGAATGTATTGATGAGGCTCCTGTCAGGAGGAAGGATGGGAAATTTCAGGTGGATTTTTCTTCTGAAATTGACCTTTTGAGCTTCATAGATTAAAAGGGGAATCAGAGACCTGCCGCTTATGAGCTGCACCTTTCATGTGGTGCATAGTTGGGAGCTCTTTTCAGCACCACTGAAAGGATGACGTGCCAGAGAAAAGCTTCCTATAGGGGAAAAAGTCTAAGAAATTTTAATTATGATTTTTTTTAAAAGTCACATTATTAATAATGGAAAAGTCTGAAAGACATGCATGCCACAAACCAGTCTCTCTGCTGATTCTACTTGAATACCCATCATTCCCGATAATCTGCCTGGTTAGATATCACATGCCATGGAGGCAGAGGGGGACCAGTCACATCAGTGGAATATACACAGCTATTTTCCTGAAACCCTTCATAAAATACTGCAGAAATTTTTCTGCCTGATTCTTTCAAACTTGTCCTGACCCAAATCAGGGGCAGCTTGGAAGTTGGAAGAAATTAAGTTTAAAATAGGGAAGAAAAAATAACTTGGAACATTAGACATCTACCTACAGTCATTACTTGAATATTATTTATATAAACAGTAATACCTAGAGGCTTTTGACCAATATGGGAGCCCCATTGTGCTAGGCACTGTACAGACACATAGTGAGAGACAGTCCCTGCTCCAAAGAGCTTGTATTTGAAATAGACAAGACATGGAAAGGGGACAAAAGCACAGAGAGGTGAAATGACTTGCAAAAGATCATACAGCAAGCCAGAAACAGAACCCAAATTTCTGGAGCCATAGTTCATTGTCTAATCCACTGGCCCATATTGCCATCTATATCTCGATAGCTTTTGTTGCCACCCAAACAACTCCCCAATAGCACATACACCAGTTAATCTGTCCAGTCTCCTCCCGTGTGCCCCAGAATGTTATGTCATTAAGACACATGCTACAAAGCTAACTGTTACCAGGTTGAAAGTGTTCCGACACTTTTCAGAGTAAAGGGAGTCATAAACGGGGATGTGGCAAGAAGAAAATAGATCCTGTCAGAATGGTTGGGTAAAACCAAGAAAGCATTGTTATCAAGTAAAGAGCAAAAATGACTCCAGCTGCATCTGCACATAGGGAAATGAACTGTCGATGTCTGTAAGGTATGTCTGTCTAACTTTAGGCTGCTGGCCTCCACTACAAGCTTTTGGGGGGATTTCTTGGGACTACCTATTAAGTCTGAGGACTTTCAGCCCAGGACGTGGGTGTGGGGATGACTGTAGTTGCTACAGCCATGAAATAGGCATTGGAAGGAGGGTAACAAAGTGTCCAGGTAGGCCACAAAGAAACCTATTCCATAGCCCACTGTTGTCCAGATTCCTTTAAAGTTGGGGATATATTAATAATATTCTTTTCCTGAATTAACATTTTAATTTGTATTTTTTTGTCTCCACATGACAGAGACCCTCTCTTCCCCCCAACCTTAAGGCATTAGGACAAACAGGGATTGGAGGTAGAATTTAGCTGAAGGGGAAAATCTCTGGCTTTTCAATTTCCTTTGAGAGGCGGGTACTGTCTGTGACTTCTGTGCTAAGCAGGGATGTCTGTGGCTGCTTGAACAAGCTATAATTCCCTGCAGCTGCTGGGGTGGGTTGGGAGTGTCTGTATTGCAGCATGCTGGATAATTTTGGGGTGTTTGCGGATGAAGGATATGTGCAGCTGGCAGAATAGTGTGAGAGACCTAAAGCTGATGAGATTAACGGTGGTTAAGAAATAATGTGGTGAGGATCATACTGCCACAACTGGATGAATAATACAGGGGTGCCTGTGGTAGTTAATGTGAAAGAGGGGGAGTTTTTCTGGTTCCTGAATGGATGTGTGGAATAGACTTGGAAACCATCATAAAACATAGAGTATATCAGCCCCTAGCAACAAACACCAGAGAGGAGGTGATACAAAATGTAAAAGCCCAAACACCCAGAAGAAAAAAAAAGCTCCGTTGGATTCAGAGGGCTTGATTCTCCTCTCCCTCACATCAGTTTCACAGCAGTGTAGCCCCCTTGACTCCAGTAGAACTTCTGGTTTACAAGTAAGAGGAGAATCAGACCTACAGATTCCCATTTTTCTCAGGTCACTCTTCCCCTTCACTGTCTGTGGAAAGCAGCTGGCGGTTTTTTTGCTGGTTCTCCTGGATGCCAGCCATGGCCCCTCAAGTGGTTGCTGGCTTTGAGAGAGTTTTTCCTTTTTAAAAGAAAAAATAAATTACATGAATCTGCATACTTTAGCTTTCAATTGACACACCAAAAAAAAAGAAAGAGAGAGAGAGAGAGAGAAAGTGCCAGGCTAGTCCATCTACAGCAGACAAGGGAGGGAAGGAGAAAGAGAGAAAAATCTCTTTCGATAGAGCCCAAGATTGGATGTAGCTTCTTGCTCTCCCCCCCTCAACGAATCTGACATCAAAGCCACCCAGGAAAGAAGGCCAGATTCGCTAATTAATATTCTGAACCGGGACCCCCGTCTCTTTCTTTCCACCCACTTCTTTCAGTCTCTCTCTCTCCTCCCTTCAGATGGCTGCAGCCCCCTAGAGCTGAGTCAGTTCTTCCTCTCTTCCACAGCATTGCAGCACTTCAGCGGAAAGCCAGCAAGGCGTTCTTTCACTCCTCCCTACTGCTGCATCTCCCCTACCGCATCTACTCTGCTCCCCACCTTGCCACCATGGCCAGTACTGTGTCAGGTAGGACCCGCATGGATTTTTTTTAAGTCAATCTTTTAAAACATCATTATTTGTTTGTTTCCAGGGCGGATTTTGCTTTCATGCAGGGAGGGTTCTCTGAGGGACAGACAGCTGATTTGTCAGCATTGTCTTTTCCCCCCCATTTGATGTATGAAAGCTGGGGGGGGGGATTTTTTTTTCACCTGTATCCACCGTTGTTAAACCTGCTACTTAAAAAATTCTTGACCTTAAAATGTGACACGTGAGATATGCTTAGTGCATATCAAATAATACTGCCTGTCAAATCCTATTTTGTGGTCACGTCACACGGTAATTTAAAAAAACCCGTCTGTTCATTTTTGGAAGAAGGGATGGGGAGGGGCTGGGAATTGCATTTTTACATGGGTAAAGACCAGGCACTGTCCAAGTGGGTCAAGGAAAGAGACATAAGCAAACAATTGAAAATTATGCTTACAAAAACCGAGCTAGCTTTCTGTGCATTCCCAGAGCCTTGCATCCATCAGGATGCATTGCTTCATTATAAAGTGCTATCGGGGAGCGGTCCTCTGATGGTGCTGGGCGAAATCCAATGCTCCAAGGGAAGCCCTTCCTCCTTCCTGCAGTAATACTGGGAATAATAGCATTCCTGCCTCTTGTTTTCCCAGGTTAGGCACTATCTGGCTTTGACATTCAGATTAGCCTGCAGCGTGTCAGGCTGCGGCGAGAATGCTGCACCCTTTCTCTGAAACTGGTTCCTAGAGATGGGTCTTGCGGCACCTTGCTGGGCAGCTGCGCAGGTGGGGGATGAGGGAGGGGTTCACGGAGATGGAACTGGAGCTCAGCGAGGAAGAAAATAAAAGTGCTGATTTACACCTGAACAATGGATGCTTGTTGAGAGTCTTCCAAAAAAAAAAAAGTCCCTTTCTTGAAAGAGCTCTGATTCCTTTCTGTGC